GAGGATGGCATGACCCATAAATAGGAGGATAAAGGGCAAATGTGGAGTGATTTGGATGGACGTACGATATTGAATCCCATGATTGTGGAGTATTTGTCAGACATTTGAAGGTCATAATGATATTAGAATTCAGAGATCTTAGACTCATTGGATTTGTCTCGTCGAGCAGCTTGATTTGACAATAAGCATGTCACGTTTGGAAATCGTTTGGTAATCCAAATCGTGGCTTGAACCTTCCAACAGTGCTTCAGGTCTTCAATTCGGACCCATTTGGGCTTGGATTGAGTTGAATTTGGTGTTGTCGGGTTCGTATTTCCGAGAAGCTCAATTCGACTATAAGTTTGCTGAAACCAGAGTTCAGATAATCCCATATTTAATTTTTGAAGTTTCCAACTTGATTTTTGCCTCGAGATTCATGTCTGATTAAGATAATTTATAACAGGACTCATCACACTAAGGGACATGAGCTTTAAATTCATGCATGAGACAAAAAAAAAAAATGAGTTCAAAAATATATTTATTTATTTTTTGTTCTTTATTTAATTGAATGTAGATTGTTTATGATTGTTGTAAATATTTATTATTTGATTAATCGGTTTTATTTCAATGTGTTATGTTGTAGTTATTGGATTGCAGTATATTATGTTATAACTATTGAATTGCTTTCAACTGTGTTTATCACGTACCAAACTCTAATCGAAAGAGTTTAATTCAATATTAACAACACATAGCTATAACAATTCATCAAATAGTAAACATAATATCTTCATTTCATTCATTTATTCATATCATCAAAAGAATAATGAACATAAATCCAAATACATTTTTTTTCCTCACATGGCTCTATAAGCATAAGATCACTAGATTACCAAAAGAATACTTATATAAAAACACACCTACGACCTATACTGTAAACCTTGTCAACTAGTCTTACTTGATCGTGGTCTCACCGTTTCAAAAAATAACATGCAAGTAACTTGGGCGAGTAAAAATGCTCAATAGACTAAACAAAACCTACTAAGGAATTTAATATTTAATATAAAATAAAATTGATTTAAGGAGAGTGAAAAACTTATTAAAAAATAAAAAATATTTATATAAGGGTGCACAAATAATTTATTTTGCACATAATCATTTTTTACATACTTATTGATTAGTGTTAAAAAAGTTCAATATAATCGAATTAAAAACAATGAGAGCCAAGATGTTTTTCGATTTTTACAATAACTTTTAATATACTAAGAGTTTTAATTTTTTTAGGGGGACCAAATGCCTCCCCTCAGCACTGCACTGTTCCACCCTTGAGTGGGGTACATATAACATACCATGAGCCGGACAACTTTTTCAATTGACCCATCAAATTAAATAGGCTATAAGACCTCTAAATACAACGTTCTCTCTCTTAAATTTCTCTCCTCTCTCTAATCTGCAACCTTAAATGAGAAATGAATTTTCATAAATGAATTTTGATATTTGCAAACCCAACGCTGTGGCATTATAATCCCTAGCTCCACAACTCTTCTAATGAAGGATTTTAGCCACGCAGATAAAGAGATTGGAGCTGTTGTGCCCCTTTCCCAGCATTGCAATGCTCCTAAGGAGAAGTTTCTAGCATCAAATAGAGACTTTAGGACTGTAAAACCATCCCTTTAGTAGTACGGTGGTCCTAAACATTTTTTGACAAGCAGAGGGGGCAATGCATATTGCCACAACCACAACACTGCAATGCTCCCAAGAGGAACTTTTCTATTTGGCATTTTCCTTTTCAATTTTAAATCACAACATTTTATGACTAAATTAAATATAAAAATAACTTTAAAATCACGTAAATTTATTAAGTACTCAATCCACCATTTTCAACACAAGCCACCACAGATAAAGAAAGCATAGTAGAAGTTGTTATTATAGTGCTATACTTTTGGATTGCTCTTCATTGTATCATAATAATTGTATACATTATGTTGTGTTATAGTTATTGTATTGCACTACCCTATATATAATACATGTAATTGTAATATGCTATAGCAACTATATTCAAACCATGCATAAATTTTATTCAAGCATCGATCCAATAAGCCATACTTGAATTTAATTTAAATAAGATTTAAAACTTATTTTAATTATTTTAATATATTTAATTTTTATTTGAACTAATATATTGAGGGGAGCTTTTATATAAATAGTTTGTAATTAGAAAAAAATATTAACTTTAGGACATACTTAAAAAAAATAAATAAATAAAAAAACATTCATTCCAAAATGTTAAACCCCCGTTAACCTTTTACGGTTGTCTCTATTGTCTGTAACTTCCTCCCGTTTTCTTCTTTTCCGATAGCTTCGGCCGCCGTCTACGCGTCGCTAACTCTGACAAGACATAAAGCGTTAATATTAAATTAAAAAAACGACTGACAGATGGCGCATTTTTATTGGCGACCGAACGGAGAGATGGCTTCGATCACCTGACCCAATAATTTGCCGTCTCAGACCCCCGCATTTTAGGGTTCTGAAGAGCTCTTGAGCTTGTCGCACTTGAAACAAAGATGACCATCGAATGTCTCGTCCTAGGCAAGCAGCTTTCTTCATGCATTTCAACCCAGCTTCCGTGCTTTTATTCTTTCCCCCTCTCTATTGAATCCATTTCCCAATCTAACGTCTGAGAGGAAATAAAAAAATGCCATAATATCTTAATCTCTATACATCGTAGGCGCGGGACAAGAGGTGGGGAAGAGCTGCGTGGTGGTTTCGATTGGTGGCAGAAGGATCATGTTTGACTGCGGAATGCACATGGGCTACCTTGACAACCGCCGCTATCCCGACTTCTCCCGAATCTCCGAGTCTGGAGATTTCAACGCTGCCCTCACTTGCATCGTTATCACCCATTTGTGAGTTTCAAGGCTTTATTGTTCATTCATTTATTGCCAGTTTCAACTTGTAGTTTTTTTTGTTAGGGATATAGTTATTGTTCATACTAGTGTCAGAGGAATGACAAGTATAAAGGGCTAGACTTACTAGTGTTAGAGGTTGCTCAGAATAATTTGTTTCTAGTAGGTTTACCACAGAGATGACTCACTAGGAGAATGGAAAATGAAGATTGATAACGGCGACCCAGATAGTTCGGATAGGCTAATGAAGATGATGAGTTATTGTACACGTGAAGTGATGGTGAGTTTATTAGCGGCCTTCCGAGGAGCTTACATTGAGGAATTGTAGTATGGTGGATGAGTTGCGGATTGAAATTCGTAGAAGAAGATGTAGGCAATTGGACTCATTATCTTTTGTAGTTGAGTTGCTAGCCAAAGTTGGTAATCCTCTCCTACTGTTTAGGTTTTTGACTGCTTTACACGCCATTATGTTCTTCTCACTAAGCTGTTCACTGGCACCTTAGGTTTTTTCATCGTATTAGAACAAAATGATTCGTAAATCTTTGTTTACCATCCTGGCTTGTTTATTTTTGTGTTATTTGTACTAATTTTTTTTGAGATGATGTGTATTGCAGCCATCTTGATCACGTTGGAGCCCTTCCATACTTTACAGAACTCTGTGGGTACAACGGACCTATCTACATGACTGTAAGTTTGTAGATAAACTTTGTTCTTAGGTGTTTTTTAGCTATTGCTCTTTTGCTCTAGTATGCAGTTTCCGTTTGTAACATTTTTCCAAAAAATGGCATAGCTTATTTTAATCTCTGTCTGTCCTGTTTGCTTCCGACTGAAAATCTACATGGTTAATTCTAACTTTTGACTTGGGGTTGCAGAACGTCGTGTATGGTTGAAGTTCAAACTAATGGACCAGTCATGTTTTACGAGTCTAACCCCAAACCCTATAAAGGATCTTCATCCACAGTTAAGTTGGGAGTTTGTTCATAAATAACTATTAGGGGTACCCCATTCCTATAGTTATTTATATTTTTGTTATAACATGTTTCATTGATGGACTGGTGTGATAGGAGAATTTTAAGTATCATTTTAATGGAAGGACTACTAAGTCCTTCAAAAGAAGAAAATCACTAGGCCATAACTGATTACATTGCTAACAAAACAAACAAACCAACATCAACATTATCTTTTCATCCTATCACATGAATATTTGTAGTAATACAGAGCATATAATTCAAAGATATAAGAAGGGGGTCCTTAATAGAACACATAAAATGATGATTTAATTGCATGTCTCTTATTGAAAATTGACATTTTATCTTCTTAAATTTTTGTAATCTTCTATGATTATTCATGAATTGAAAATGATGTTTCATTTCTCCACACATTAAATGGCTGAATTTATTTGTTTTCATGGAGAAGCTGCTTTATGTCAACTTTAAATCTTAATAGAAAAGCTTCTTCAAGTCTACTCTAAATCATAATAGAGAAGATACTTTAAGTCCATTCCAAATTCTCATACAGTGACTACTTCAAATATTCAACAATACCATTCCTTATCATGAAAATACATTTTCCCTAAATAAAAAATATTATTTTTGAAAATATATTAGAATAAGAATAACAGGAGTTATCATACATGATTCAAAATCATAACTTACTATTTATAGTTTAAGTCCAGCACTAATATGCACAATTTTTATTGATCAACGTTTTAGTATGCATGTATATAATGTGTCCATACATGGGCAATAATCTTCTAAACTTGAACAATTGTATATTGCTCGTGTCTATGCATGTATATTGGGACATGTTACTTTGACTTTGGTTGAAAACTGTTATCTCAGCCCCAATCCCTAAGAATTCTTTGAAAAATATTTACCCTCATACCCTACACAAACCCATGCAATACTATCCAAAACCCTTTTAAAGTTGTGAGTAGGACTACTTGCATCGGGTAATTCACCATCTTTTTAAATTAGCGAACACTGTATGATAATTTTGAAATTGAATGAAAGACAGATCTTAGAAACTCAAACAAATCAAATTTAGCATTAATTGTTAAATGTAAACAATGAAAAGATCTAGCTAAGTAGACAAGATTTAACCTCAACATCTTTGTCTTTTTTTTTTTAAATCATAAGAGAAGAATGAGCTCCAAAATTCAAGGCTCAAGGTCATTGCTATTATTTTTTTCTCCATCTCAATACATAATAAACTATGGTGATTTATAATATCTCACATATCTGCCTACATATGTCCAATGGTTGCTTGATGATGCATGCATGCATGCACACTCATATTTCAAATTATGTATATTCCCATATGATTTGTTATATAGAGGCTAAGAATGTCATAAACACATATTAGATTTTCAATTATATTCATTCCGGTGTGATGTGTTATATAGAGTTTATGAATGTTATTTAGTGATTATCTCAAGTTTTTTTTTTTGGGGTCTATTTTAAACAGTATCCAACAAAGGCTTTGGCCCCATTGATGTTAGAAGATTATCGGAAAGTGATGGTAGAGCGAAGGGGAGAGGAAGAACAATTTAGCTTTGATCATATTGTGGACTGTATGAAAAAAGGTTGGCATTATCTGGCATTTTGTTGTTGGTAACTTGCTTAGAATATACCTGGATGGACTACTTTGTTTTTTTTTCCTTGCAGTAGATGCTTTTTCTTTTTAATTCACCATTGGTCCATATAGACGAGTAGGAATGTATTCACCTCATATAGTGTTTTGTTAGCTTTAAAGAATAAATATTTGGAGTATTTGCATGCCTTATAAAAGTAATAAAGTTAATTACCTTCGCTCCACTGAATGAGTCCATAAATTCAATGTAATTTTGTGGGTCTCTAGTTTATGCTACTAGAATATTGCATATTAGCCTTATTGGTGGACAGAGATGCTTACCACACAATTTTTTTAAGATGATTTGACCCCTTCGATCTAAATGCAAAATCATGGTTTTCTTGTTCTATATCAGAAAAAAAATTGAAATATCACAAATTTTCACTATGAATTGACCTTACATTTAACATATGTAGTCAGTACCATATTTTACAACTTAAATGATGAGATCAATGGTTTATGTATGTCATGGTGAATGGGTTAATCTATGAAAATCAAATAAATTTGTTAGGTATTTTATAAGAAAAGTAGAGAGCAAATTCCATAGTTTGAATTTTTTGAATCGCCAAAAAAGAAGTTTAACTGTTTTTTAACACCATTATCCGCCTATCCACTACATGCGTGATCTATCTCCTTGAAATCATAAGAGAGAATAAAATTCATTGCATTAGTTGTCTTCATTTTGTAATTCAATATTGGTTTCTCAGACCTTATATTTGGATGGAATGATAGAAATACCAAAATTTATGGGGGTGACTAGTTCCCACTTACATGGATAGTAGAATACCTCAGTTGTAACTTTGTTATATGAAGTTGACTTGTAGCCAAAATTTTCTGAAATTAAGATGCACTTGCATCACGATGTTGTGATATTATGACGGGGTTAATTTTGCAATATAACATTTTATTTAGTAGTTATTAAGTGCATATAAATAGAAAAAGGCTTAGAAAAGTTTATGCTAATAAAGTTTTTACATCTATGTTTTCAAGGCATTTTATTTAAATGGTCATCCTGAATCTTGAAAATGAAAAATCTTATCTTATATTAATTGTCAATTTAAATATATTTAAAGTCATCATATTTTGAGTTTTAGTTATGATTTTTAAATTAATTACTTCTTCCCAATTTGACCTTTTGTTGGTTTTGGCAAAAAATATTGCGATCAGAAAATGCTTTTAGCATAGGATCAAAGAGGGAAATGCTGAAAAAAATAAAGTCAAAGGAAATGTATTAAGAAGGAAAAGGGTGGAATCCCAATGAACTTTATAAATGAAAGCATATTGTTTGGTTAAGCTGTTACCCTCCTGAATATTTTTAATGAATCCTTTTGTCTATTGATCTTGAAGGTTTGGCAGATGACCTAAACACTTATTGTCAGAGTCGGTTACTTACTAGTGGCATCATTTTATCTATTATTTGGACCTTAGCTTCCTGTTTAAGGATACGACCTTTGTTGGACTGTTAAATTCCCAAGATGGCACCATAAAATCAAAATGGATGTATTCAAAGTTTAACATTGATTCTGAAGATTGCATGCAGATCTTTTATGGAGATGTATCATGTTAATTTGTTTATTTCCCTAACGTAATCAATTTCTTTGTCCCATGATTGGTTTTAGAGAAGCAAATGACTTATGAACTATAAACATTGAAAACTTAAGCAAACAACATATGAAATATAAACATTCTGTCAACAACTGGTTTATTTTCTTTCTCTGTTCTAGTTATTTCCATGTCATGCTTTCAAAAAGCACTGCTATTCCAAGGCATTGACTTTTAATGCATGTTTAAGATATTCTCCACCTTTGTCGCAGTCACGGCTATTGACTTGAAGCAAGTTATACAAGTTGATAAAGATCTCAGCATCTGTGCTTACTATGCTGGTCATGTAAGCTCCTTGTTCTTTAGTCTCATCACTTAATCCTTTGCAGGTTTTCCTTTAAGATTTTGTGATTTGGAGGATACTTTTTCTTCATTTTCAATTATGATTACTCCTTAAACATACTTCTTGTTTTGATTTTCAATATGCTTATAAAGGTATTCAAAGCAAAGTATCCTGGTATATGCTTTTTGCAGATGATATATTTATAATTGGTTAAGAATCAAAGACATCCATTGCTATTATCAACAAATTAGAATAATAAAGAAAGTATTTAGAAGATAGAGATATTAGAATAAATAGAATAATGACTGAGTATATAATATTATTAGAAGATAAGGTGAAAGGTAGATATGACGGGTGTAAGTTTCTTGAAACTACTATATAGAAGAATGTGGATGAAGATGATGATATAACTTGTAAAGTTAAGGTTGGATGGTTAAAATGAAGAAGTATATCAATAATGTTGTGTGACAAGAGAATATCATGGAGGCCTAAATGTAAATTTTATAAAATCATAATTAGGCTTGCAATGTTCCATGGATTTGAATGTTGGTTGTAAAAAATTTATTAAGATATAAGTTGAGTGTGATAGCAATAATGAGCATTTTAAGACGGATGTAGGACAAAATCAGGAATGATAAGTTAAATAATGATTATATTAGAGAAAATTTTAAGATAAGGTGATTGAAAGTAAGCTTTTAGGTGTTGATTTAGACGTGTGCAAAAAAGGGTAGAAATTGTGTGTATTAATTGGGTTGATAAAATTAGTGCTATAGCTTTGAAAAAAAGGTGTAGACCTAAGATTATATGGATAGAAGTTGTTCAAAATAATTTATGAAGAATACATGTAATACTATATGTAGCACTCAATAGGAGTGGATGAAAAATGAGTATTCATCATCTTGACCCAAATAGTTGGGATTAGAAGTTTTGATTTGTTGTGTCTTGGAGTATTCATGACAGTAGAGAAACATAAAGTTTAGCGTCTTAGCTTTATACGAAGATTCAACACGCAATCAGATAAGAGAGTGAGGGTACAATATTCATAAGAGACACCATGATTTTTACGTGGAAAATCCTAAAAAGGGAAAAAACCATGGGGCCTGGCCCAGTTTGAATGAATATACTATTATTTGTAGTTAATTACAAATGAGGCCCTTCCTTGGGGGAAGACCTTAGCTTGATGTAACAAATATACATCATATAGGGTGTGTTACATGACGGGACTTGAAAGAATCACTATTGATACATCTGTTTGGTCGGTAGGACCATAGTCAACGGGCGACGGAGGTTGGAAAGATCATAGTTCGGTGACGGTTGTTGCAGGGACCGTAGTCGGAGGGCGATAGTGGTCATAAAGGACTATTGTCTGGCGACCAAGTTCGGGAGGGCCGCAATTTGGCTTTGGAGGTCGGAAGGACCGTTGTCGGTGGGCGACAGTGGCCAGAAAGATCATTGTATGGCAACAGATGTTGGAAGGACCGTAATCGGCATGCGACAATAGTAAGAAAGACTATTGTCTGGTGACCAATGTTTTATGCAAATCTTCCATACAAATAATGGTAATGTAATAAGATATGATGTATTTAGGGGTGCTGACAAAATAATTACATGCTAATTGAGGCACTAATATGAGAGAAAAAGATGAAGGAAACTAAAAATTTTGGTTCATATATTACATGCACTTTTTATTTGAAAACTTATAAACCACATAAATATATCATATATTTCATATGAATTGAGAGAATCCTTAATAAAAAATAATATAAATGTCAAATTGAAAATAATGAATTTTTTACCTGTAAGTTTCGTGATTTATTGATTGTAGTTATGATTTATAAAGTCATGGTTATATTAAAGTGATATGACTTTCTCAATAAAGGTTTTTCTCTTTGTAAATATACAAATAAAAGAATCAAGCCTAAAAAAAGGATATCAAATTGACTAGCAGACATATAGATAAGTTTAGTGGTGCTTATTATGGATTAAATTTTTGGTTTAGGTGATTTAACAATGTCTGATCTGTATGACCTGTCCAGTTTTAAAATCAGGGATAGATTTTGATTATAATTAATGTTTGAGTTCAGATTTGATTATTTACTCATTCATTTTTTAGATTTAAAATTTGGCCCTTGCTTTGTTTAATGTTTAGACACATGAATAAATTATGACGAATAGTCCAGTGTAAGTTATGGTGCAAATTTAAATTTTACGATACAAGATGTGGAATCATCTTTAACTGTAAATTTTATTTGCATCTAATTCATGTTTGAAAAATTATTCATGTGCTATAACTTCACTAATAGGATCAAATCTGATCATATATGATATTTATGCTTGTGTATGTTAGTAGGTTGTGAGTGAGATACACTAGTTTTTTATTCGAAAGACTAAGATTTCATTTGGGACGGTTTTCTTACTGCTTCTTAAAGCAGTTTTTTAGTAAAAAAATTAACATTTTGTACTAAAAATGTGCTTTAAGGAGTAAAAAAGCCGTCCCAAATGATGCCTAAATAAAGATGCAATGGTAGTGCTAATTGAAAAATATTCAAACTCTAAAACTCTAGATCTTATATTGTCTTTATAGAATTCTAGTTTAATTAATACTTAACTTCTTGCCTATCACTTAACGAAACATATATTGATAATAAAATTGTGTCTAGGCAAACAATGCTTACCTACTATGATGCAGTGTCTAGCAGGTTGGATTAAATCATCCGGACTACTCCTTTTTTGCATTTAATTCTCTTTTTATTTAATTAGGCTGTTCTTGCTTTTCCTTAAAAGTATTTTCTTTATTTTTCCTTATTTTCTTATTTACTAATTGAATGCTTATAAATAGAGGCTCCTTAAATCTGATATTCAGTTTTGGTGTTTATAAAGAGAGCCATAGCTTTTCTTTTTTATTCTCTGCTTCCTGGAGTTTTCAGGTGGTGGTCACCTGCCCTTCCCTCGCACCACATCCACAAGCAGCCTCCAAGAAGGCGCCACGGCTTCTTCCTGCAGGTCTCTTTCTAGCCGCCCCCTTCCAGGCTGCCGCAGCCATTCCCAGCTGTAATCAGGCCCTCTGCTTCATTGTCTGGCCGCCGTAGCCCAAGAACGCAACGGCTTCCTTGATCCAGCTTCAGAACCTGCATCCACTGCAGTTAGGAGAGCACCGTCCAACCTTCAGTTTCCACCTACACTGCTTCATAACAACTAGACACTTTTGTGCTTCTGTCCTGCAAACTTGCAAAAAATGTTGCAAACTTGCAAATTTTGCATGTCGTAACCTATATATATATCTATAGCAAATGATCATTGCTTCATTTATTAAAAATGTTAAAATACGATTTTAACAAGAAATTTATGCCCTCCTAGTTGTTAATAACTATATATTTATGGATCACAAAAGCCACGATTGAAATCTCTTGCTGTAGAAAGAAATCCAGATTTAGCACTTTTGATAAAATTCAATCTCAATTCCAGCCGCTACCAAAATAAATGATTAGAAAGGGAAAGAAAAGAAGAAAAGGGGAAGATATCATTATAAATGTATATTTTTTTTAAAATTTTGGGTAGTAGATTGCACGAATGAAATTCTCATACAAACTTAGCTTGCAAATCCTAAATTACCCATAATCATCTGTCCAACTTGCAATCCATCTATGTATTAGTAGTTATGTACTGTCCTGGAGGATTAGCCTTATTTGTTTTCCAGCAAAATGCTTAGTCAGCATGAGTTTGACTCAAGATTGCACTATTATAGAGTGTCATCTGTTTTGACTTTTGATTAGGTGCCATCCTAATTTAACACATTTATTGGCTGGATATCAATCTTTGTCTTGTTGAACTCCATGCAATCTCTTCTGATTAATTCTTCAAACAGTTTTCATTGTAAACTGGCAATTAAAGTAGGTATACTGTATTAGAAACCGGAAGATGTTTGAAAATTCATTGCACCTGTTTTTCTTTTTTCTTTTTTTCCTTACAATTTCATCTTGTTCATTGTGATTTGTTGTCTTCTTTTCTTGCTAATTTCTTCGCAGAATCTTACTTCTCTTCCATTTGTTATCCCTTTTAAACTGTTCTTCCTTTTTCTGACACAAATATATTTTATTATAGGTACTTGGAGCCGCAATGATTTATGCAAAGGTTGGGGATAATGCTATGGTATATACTGGAGATTATAACATGACACCTGATAGACATTTAGGAGCAGCTCAGATTGATCGATTAGAGTTGGACCTTCTTATAACAGAGTATGAAGTTGGAAAATGTTTTTTTTTTTCCAGCACATGCAGGTTACATTGCACCCAACTTGAGTGTTTGCAGTATGATGCATTTTATGCATCGTGGTTTAACTCATATTGATCTCTTTTGAGTTGAACCTGCTTTGAACGGATAATGCTAATATTCCTAGACGCCAATAAATTTGATTGCTGAGGAACATTCTTGTGCTTGATAATGGCGCTCTTATTGTCATTGAGAAATCACTTACAATATAAGAAACAGCAAGAAATTGCTGATAGTTAGTGTCTTGTGGGCTGTAAACAACCGGTCTTCTAATATTGATAGGTCATGATGAAAACATGGATGTGTGAAACAAATGCTTCTACATCAAGTCAATCAGAAATAACCTCTTCACTATTTGGACAATTCACTATCGTACCAAGTTTTTATGCATGATTAATGGGCCTATGTTTGTGAAAACTTTTATAATTTGATGTCTTATTTCTAACATGCAGGTTAAAATGGGTTGTTTTTGGCTTGTCTCCAATGATAGTAATACATCTTCTACAATATGTGGAGTGTTTGAACAATGTAGAGTATAACAAAAGCTAAGTATATGATATATGATTTTTGTGTTTGTGATATTAATTGTTATTAGCTTGTATCATTAGAAGATAAAGAGATACAAGTGTGATATGTTTAATTACCTTGAATATATTATATAGAAGAATATAAATATAAATTAGGATGTAGCTTTTATTGTTATGCTTGTGTGGTTAAAATGGAGAAGTTCCTCGGGAATATTATTGACACCGATAGTTGGGGTAAAAAAGGGGGTCTAAAACCTTTGCAAGATTTGATGACTAAATGAAACCTATAAACAACCACATGCCAACTGATTAGAGGCTTTTCTTGGATCAAGAAGAGGATTACCTTGAAGCTGAAAGATGTTTGAGGACTATTCCAATGTAAATCTATCAAGACACTGATGACTCATTGGTTGACATGATTGTGTGTGAAAAACTGAGAGGAGTGGAATTGCATGATGATGTGAGGAGAGTAATTTTCATGGAGTTGAAATCTACGTCTTAGAAGTGCCAGCCTAACTTCTGACAATAAGGAAATTGGAGAATACGGTTGAACTTCAAAGTGAAACACACTCGGTGAGATGAAGTGTTGTGGCACACACAATCTATTATGCTTCATGGCGGTGGAGTTCTTTGTGGCTGATCGATGTGTTGTAACTGTGATTGCAGCGCTTTGGCAAACTTTTAATGACATTGGTTGGGAAGAGCTGACGGCCTTGAGTTGCTGTAAGATGTTTCTTTGTTTGAAGCATAATCAAATTTATTTATGTGCAGAGAAGATGATTTGCCGACCCCATGTAGTGGGACAATGACTTGATGTTGTTGTTGTAGTGTTCTCAAAAGATGAAATTTAACATGAGGTTTAGCATCTAGTTTTGTAATATCCATATTTTACATTCAACTATTGAAAGTAACTCTGATCCATGATTTGGCTGAACACTTTTTATAGCCGTGCTGCTAAATTTCCTGCTCGACAAGAAATATTTCCTTTCACCAAAAGGTGATTTATGATCATGATGCTTAAACTACCTCTTCTACTTTGGAGTAGTCTTTTGTTTTATGACTTACAATAACGCAACCAACTTTGGATTGAAAATTAGCTTAGGCATTGACTTTTCTGTGGTTGGAAAAGCAACAAGGTTTTGAGCGCAGCTAAAAATTTAACCTATAAGTTTAGAGCTTGTTGGGTTAAAAAGGAAGTATTTTATTGGGTACATTTTATAAGAAATGATCATGCCAAGTTAAATGTAAAACTTTATAAACCCTCTTATATAGGATAGTTTTAGTGTATGTGTGTGGGCCAATAAACAAAGCACAAACAAGCTAACAAATTTATTTTGGAAAAAAAATGAAGATGACAAGATCGATTTGTTTTGCGATTACAAATGATATATTTTGGGGTGACTTCAAGAGATAAAGTTTGGGGTGACTTAAAGAGATAAAGTGTAGTAGACCTGCAAAATCTATGGTAACATAAAACTAGTTGAGATGCTTTGGACTAGCATAATGGAGAGAAGAGGAAGCGATGTGAAACATACATGCTGATGAACACGAATTGCATTTAAGAAATTAGTAAAATGCAAATTTTGCTTATCTAAATATGAGTGGATGCTTCTTCAAGTTTAGATCTTAGAAAATTCCATTAAAAGACTAAGTACTGGCAAGCGATTACAATTGAGATTACTAGGATACTTGCAAAATAACAACAACATATAAATGAGTAAAGCAAATGGCAAGTTAACAAAATCCACAGTTTAATAATTAGATCATTCACCTTGGGATCCCTCACTCACACTCTTGAAAGTGATTGGCTTAGCGGAAGAAGGTTGCAAGCAAGCTTAGAGACGTCACTAGAAGACATGCGATGCCGAGGTTACTAGTCGCCGGGGAAGGAGTCGGAGTTGGAGGAGGGGGTGGTCGTCTGGTGATCTTCCACTCTTCAATAGGTCTTTGTTCGCCGAAGATGTCCGCTAAGTGGGGGAGGATACGATCAACGTATTCCTTGACGGTACTTTCAGATCCAAATCCGGGGTCAAAGAACGGTGATTGGATGACGTCAATATCCCCTTGAGAATTGAGAATAAGCTCGTGATCAACTTCCGGATCTGCCATACCTAATCATGGAAGGGCTTGGTGTGAGCCGGCATTTGGGAGGGGTGGCCAAGAGGAAGAGGAGAGAGGCGGGTGGGGTCTCGGGTAGAAGGAGGTGGAGAGGGGGTGGGGCAGCTAGATGATGAATGGGGCGGCTAGGGTTTGGGTTAAAGAGAGGTTGGAATTTTGATAATCTGAATTTAATTTCAAGTTTAAGTGATATTGGAGGGAAACATTTTGAAATTAAATTCAAATTCAAATAGAGTTTGGGCTTCAATAGGAAAAACTAGGGAAGAAGCACAATAGCACATCAAGAGGGAGGAGGGAATTAGGGGAGCATTTAATGGTGATTGGGAGTTGATTATGTAAAACCCAAGTTTTTTTTTTCTTCAGATTTTTTCTAAATTTTATATTAACAATCAAATGATTAATTAATTTAAAATGAAAATTAAATTTAATTAATAACAGTTAGTGGAGATAAATATTTGTAATATTACTATTATGCTTATATCGAATGGATGCTTCCAGAGGATGAGATTAAAATTCGGTTTTAATGGTGTGTGGGTCCTCTCTTGCAATTATCTACCATTCATTATCTTGTCCATTTCACTTAGGCTATAGAATTTCTTCTCTGGTTTGGAATTCACATTCCCGTAAGCCCTCTTAGTGGATGAATGCGGCAAAGTGTTGTAGGTATAAGTGGCAGCACAATGGAAGTTTTACTGAAGGAGCCGTAAGCCAGTTGCTAGAGGAAGTCTTCTCTGTTTTGAATTCCCTTGGAACAACGGAATTCTTTCTCTGTTTAAACGCAAGGGCTGTAAAGGGATCAACTTAGTGTCATTGTAAGCAAAAAGGATTTCGGTAGGTTGGATCATTGTAGCAAGGATTGGAAGTCTCCTGTAGCAAGAGGTGGATATAAAGAGTAGGGTTCCAACTGCAATAGTCCTGGTAAGTAGATTTAGTTAGTGCAGAATTGCTAAAGCAGATTTATGTTTATAGAATTAAGGATCATTTATGCTGTTGTACAGGCTATAGATGAAAATTGTTTTGCTGTGAGGAAACTACAACCAAAAGAGAACATTAAGTGAGAGTTTGGAAGAGTATGAAGCCAAGAAATGTTTAGAGGAGAACATAAAGGAAAGAGGGCAATTGAGAGAAGTTGATACTTGATAGAGGTAAGTAGTTCTTTGTATTACAACAGTTGTAGTTATCTTTTACAGTAGGTTCTGATGAATGTATACTAAATGTGTTTTAGGATTCATCACATATATGAACAAAGGAGGTTTTAGAAGAAATTTATCAAAGGAGAAAGTAAGTGGTGTAGAATTGGAAAAGTCAACTCGTCAAGAATGTAAGTAATGCATGTATATTTCAAATATAATGACTTTCAAGTATAAGTATGGAGGTTAAATCTGAATGCATTAAAGTGAAATGTTATCAAAGTCGTTTTAATGTATAGGAAGGATTATACCTTCAAGTTTTCAAGTATGAACAATCAGATGCATAATTTAATCAGGTAAGTGTAAAATAATGTTTATTATGTTAACCTAAATAATTTTCTATTTGATACTATTTTGGAAAGATGTCAACTTCCTTATATTTGATATACATTTTAATTGTATACTGATGTGAACAGAAATGATTATGAAATCATGCTACAACTTATATATGACTTATGAATATTGGAAAGTGTACTGAATATCAGTTTAAAAGTAAAGTTTGGCTAAAGATTTATGTATAACTTACCAATACAGGTGGGGCAAAAGGGTCCCCATATATTAAACTATTTGGTAAGTGGGGCAAAAGGGACCCCAAATAAAAGAAACCTGCATAGCAGGTGGGGCAAAAGGGACCCCAAAGAGGCAAAAGAGACCTCTATGTAATTCAATGCCGATAATGCCAGGTTTACTTGGGCTCCATTGAATATGTTTATGAATGAATAACCAAATCTTTTAATGAGTAAAATTGATATTCAATATGGATTTAAAAGAAATTATTGATTAATGTCAAATGAGATTTTATGAAGTTTTCTCTAGTAGTCTAACTTTTATTTATGTTTTCAATATTATGAATTGTATAATTATTCAATTTAAATGCTATTTAAAGTTGCATATCTTATGGAGCCTCATAGCTCACCAGTTATTTTTTACTGGCTGTTGTTACAAGAAAGGGAAAAGAGAAGATTGATGCAAGCTAATTTTTGCAAGTGTTTGTTATTTACATATTAAAGTTCCTTAGTTAGTGAGTTACTTTTAAAGCTATGTAAGAACTTCAAATATGTATTAGTTGGGTTGTTGTAGTTGCTCTATAAGTTGATCTTTGAAGAAATTTATATTTGAGATGCTTCCATT